ATTGTAATTATTTATGCACAGTATAGACACTGTTTACAGTCTTCAAATAATCATGAAAATTACTTTGGAAATGTGAACAGGAATATCACGTTTATACGATACCATACAATGCTGTATTCGGGTTTAAATATTTCCGAATGGGACTGACAGGAATAACTAACTTATAATGTTCTATATGTTGCATTGTAATCTAGGGAGTGGCATGCATACATTGGCATATATTCCCTTTGCTACATAAATTTCATACAAATGTACAAACATTTACATAGGCCTACAGTTCAACATATTACATATGTGTTAAATTCACATTTCCGCTTCAGTGTAACACAGCGACTGGAACAGGCCCTTGGTAAATCTATTGTACCAGAAACTGGGCCTTCGAAGGTGTTCACAAAATAACAATACCTGTTGACTTGGCAATACAAGTTCAACTGTGTGACCTGTGATCCATTGCAGTCTGGTGTATTTATAGAATTGGGAATTTACAGGCAGTGAGCAATGCCACACCCTACAGACATTCCAGTCAATCCAGAGAGTGAATCCACCAAATAGTCCACCAGTTTCTTCATCAAACAGCCAAATTGATTGCAGAAATATCTTCTGACATCATTCAGGTATGTTTAGTTGAGACTAAGCTTGACAAATGTAACCACAATTGGCATAGGAAACTGTGCAAACATTTGACTACCAATTTGTACATCAGTTTCCTTCTCTGATGCACCATGAGCAGTGTGTTAAACCAGTCCGAAGAAGTTCATGAAAGCACGCAATGCAGAAACTTGAATTCATGCATATGAACCTACATGTACAAACCATGCTATCAATGGATAAGTCCTATTTTTCAGTTCATCATACGTAAACAACTAACACTTTAGGCCACTTTTTTTTACATTTTGGATTACAGATCCACTGATTTAAAAAAAAATTCTTTGCCAATTGAAAAAAAAAAATTATACAATGTTTAGCCAATTTTTAATTTGATATTTCCACCAACATGATATAAAGCAATTAGCATTGTTGAAAAAGATTAGAGTATGAAATTGACCATTTACAATATCACTACACAGCCTGAAAACCGTCAGTTTCTCTATTAAAAGTTTCTCCATCCACACAATGTCCGCGTTTTTCTAGAAATACAGCAGGCACATTGGCAACTTCCGTGGCTACAATGTAGCAATACGGAACAAAACTGTGCCCGGTGACGCGGATATTGCACGTTTATCCTGATCGCAACCCGTTCAAGATCGGACGACTTCTGTATATTTTTCTCTTTATATTTCTTAGTTCAAGAATAAACATTTTCTTTGTGAAGTTTGTGCCCGAGAGGATTTTTGAGAAGAAACATGAGTTGGAATTTCACTATCAAGTTTGATTTTACCGGTTTGCGCAGGTGCAGTTTTGTAACCTATGAATGCTTATTACAACCATATCATCATTTGAAGTTTGAATATGCGTAAATCCTAAAGCTTTTAATTAATGTGCTTCATTTTCAGGTTGAAGGTCTGTCTACTCCTATCACATCAAGCCCAAACGGTGAAGATGGCATCTAATGTTACAGCCCAATCAGTGTTGGAGAAGATTAGTGTGAATCATCTGGAATGCTTCATCTGCACCAACCGTTTCAGGCAACCCAAACTGCTGGACTGTTTGCATAGTTTTTGCCTGCAATGCCTTCAAGAGCTCAGACAGAGCCAAGATCCTAGTGGCACAAAGCTGACATGTCCTCTGTGCATGTGTGAAACCATGTTGAAAGGGTCTGGGGTTGCTGATCTCCCTAATAACTTTGCATTCAGTGCCCTGGTCGAGGAAGTTACAATGCAGGAAAAGCTACTGGAAGGTCAAGGGTCAGACATCAAATGTCAAAATTGTGATGAGGAGAATCAGGCTATTTCAAGATGCATGGACTGTGATCATTTCCTCTGTCAAGAATGTCAAAAGGCTCATAAACGTATGACTTTCATGAAATCTCATAAAATCTACACACTGGCTCAACTTCGATCAGGAGAGATTGTCTACAAGAGTAAACTAAGAGAAGACATTCCACAATGTGGTAATCATCCAGATCAGAATCTCAATGTCTACTGCAACACATGCCAGCAAGTCATATGTACACCTTGCTCGGTACTTGACCATGCAAAACACTCCCTCATTGGACTACCTGTGGCTTTTGAGAAATGTCAGAAAAAAGTTAAAGAACTTGTTGCAAGAGTTGGTAAGAGTAAAACAAAACTGAACAACACCATTGAGAAGACTTGCAAATCTCGCAAGAAACTGAATACCATGTTTGCAAACACCAAAAAGAAAATCACAGAGAAAGCTAACCAAGAGGTTGCCAAGATCCGACAGGAGGAGCAGAAACTGTTGAAAGAGACTGACAGGATTTATCAAAAAAGAGTAACAACATTTGATGCAGCTCAAGCCAATAACAGCAAAGATGTGATCCAGACAGAGCACAAGCTGGAGGAGGTCAACCAACTCATGAATCAAGCAAGTTGCTATGAGATTCTTGAACTTCAACAGAATCTATTGCATAACCTCAGTGAATTGACAGGGAAACAGCCACAGCAAGTTCCTGACAAGTTGACCTTCATGGACTTTGAAGAAGGTGAGAGGTCACTTGGGAGACTCATTCTGGAAGAAGAGCCAAAGGCTGCAGCAAAGCAATCACCAAGACCTGCAAGATCATGTGTTAAGGAGAAATGGAAATTGAAGATTGAATTCAAAAAAATTGGATTGATAATTGATTCAATATTTTCATGTAAATTGCTTGTTTCAGCTCTCTCCAACAATGAAATACTTGCACTCCGTAGATTTTTTGGAATCAGTGCACTATTCACAGTTTCAATGCCCAATGGTCAACATACACCATCTCCTATCCCACAAAGGCTACAAATCAGTGGCCTCACTGATGATGTAAGGTGTATTGCAGTGAGCAGGGATGACAAGCTCCTTGCTGTAGATGGTCAAGTAGTCAAGGTCTTCAACAAGCAACATCAGCTCCTCCATCAGTTCACACCAGGTAGAGGGTCAGACAGCCAACCAACATGCCTTGCAGTGGATGACAGCAATCTGATAGCAGTGGGTTATAAAGAAAAGAAGGAGATATCTCTACACAACCCAGATGGATCCCTCATCAGGAGACTGCCTGCTCCAATGATTGGAGGTTATCTGACAATGTACAATCACCGCCTTATCTACACAAACTATGGCAAGAAAAGGTTGGTATGTGTAGACTACTATGGTGCCAGTGTATTCTCAGTAGACATGACCAGCAACATACAGGGGGGTAATTGGCACCCTGATGGTGTGTGCTGTGACAGTGATGGCAGCATCTATGTTGTTGTGTATGGATATCCAACAGGTGACATTCTGCATTACAGTCCTGATGGCAAGTACATTGGATGTGTGATCAAGGGATGTGATGATCCACGTGGCATGACATTTACATCAGGTGGTGAGCTGGTAGTGGCTGCAGGAGATTCTGTACAGGTCTATCACCGAGTGTAAGGACAGATTAGTTCAACTGGGGCTATCCAGGTATCCACCAACCACTTCCATCAGACATCGAGCATTGTTATCACTGACAAAGAACTTTAAAGTTCATTCCCTAAACAACATTCTACAATACTGTATATTTGGTTTATTGCTAAGGTCTTTGGTCTCTGTATGTGTTGACTCTCATACCTCAACCACTTCCCCTTTGGACAATCTTGGACTTCAACACCCAGCCTACTTCCTATGAAATCCTAGATCTGGTGGCCCAATAATGAGAGCAAACGAATGAACCTTCACTATGTTTTCAAATAGGGATGAGTGCACATTTTAAAAATATAACAAACGAGAGGCAAAGTATTACCACAAGAGGCAATTCAATTTTCTCAGATTCATCTCAGCAAATACAAAGTAAATGTATGATGTGTTTTCCAAGTATAAGATATAACCCTGCTACTGCGTAAAATGTAAACATTATTTAAATTTTGTTATTCGATTCTTCAATTACATTGGGAAAATTGTTGAGTTTAAATTAATGCAACTTACATTTGAATGAGACAGATTTTCCAACTCCACGTACAAAAACCAGAATAAATCCTCAAAAGCAACTGAATGAAATGTGTGTGATTTTGAACTAAAGCGAGAGTTGAATAGCAAGTTACATGCAATCCCTTGGTTGTCTCTTTCACAGTGCTTTCTGAGTGCCTCATCAAATTAATATTAGTTTAATTACATTGACAACCAAGTTGAAAATGAAAACCTCAAGTGCATTCTACTGAAATGATACATGGATGTTTGTAAATTTGGTTAGTATGATGGATGTACATTTGTTTTAAAACTGAATTTTATTCCCTTTTTTGTCCTTAAATACTACAATATAAGATGCATTTGGAACATTCTATGAATTTGGGGTCCACTTTTTCCTGTCCCTATACGTCCGACATCTACGATTTTGTAATTGAAGATGCACTCCTTTATGTGTGTACTCTTTCCTCCAAGAATGCTACCTACCCAACAAATATTAATTAGTTTGAAGTCATTTTTAATAGCACTTGAATGGCAAATGATAAATTTCGGAGGTTGCAGGGACGGGAAAAATGTCTGACTTTGGACCCTAAATGTATAGAATGACCTACTTGTGAGAGGTTCCGTATCACTACAATAATAGTTTAGTTTATTCCATAAATGATTGAGGCTTTTGCTTCTTTGAATAAGTATTGGCTTGCTAAATGCTGATAGACCAAGTAGTCTAAATGAAGTAATGAGCATTTGCTTTAATTACAGAATATCTCTCCTAGAGAACGCAGCTTCCATGACAACAATGGCATTTCAGCAATGATCCAAAGTCTGTTATTTTACCAATCAGCATCTGGAACTTTCTAAAGGTACCAGCGGCATAACTAGGATTGGAAGGTTTTTGTAAGTAAATGGATAATTTTATTTTTCATGGGCTTTTGTTTTTTCAAAGACTTTGGAAAAGTAGTTTCTATTGAAAAGGTGGATACAATAAAAATGGAATGTCATCGGCGTTTCCTTGTGTGGAAAAGGTCGAGACACACTCCGATTTACAGTATTTTAGGGGGAACACTGGGGCATTGAAAACATCTCAACAGTAAACTGTTTATATTGTGTATGATTGGCCCAATAGATTATAGCAGGCAGCTATTGAAAACAAACATTTGTACATGTACAAACTCAATTAACTACCCAGAATGTAATGAAGTTGTGCGGTTCTTCTTATACTTTGTAGATTAAATGAGATTAAAAGCATTGTGAATTTGAGAAATAAATGCATAAGTACAAGTCAAAGGCAGATTGCATAAACGAAGGTCATTTTATTCATAATTCAGGTTTCATTCTACATGTTTTGGAAAACATGCAAACGGATTTACAACATTTTTTAGCTTGAACACATAAACATCACATCCTTAGCATCATGTAACATATCGTTACAGCCCATATGACACAGCCTAATTTGCTAACATAATTCACAACGTAAAAGCATAATAGATGTCGTGTCTAGGTTTTACTAGATGTACATGACAACGGGTTTAAGAACCAATATAGAAGGCGCCTGCTGAATGGTCTCGAGGTCAATTAGACGCAGTCTTGTTTTGCAGAATAATCGTCGAATCTCTCGGATATCATAGACCCTTGCTGTACAAGGGGATATTACATAGACTACCTTAGCACCTTTCCTCCTACAATTAATAAGAACAAGTCACAATGCAGTGGGTGTGTGCCAACAAGCGTTTGCCTCAAGAGGCCAAAAGTATAGTAATTTCTACAAATGAACTTACCTGTACATGGAAGTACATTGGGGAATCTGTTCTTGTTTTTGCAGACAGGTTTTGGCTTCCTCACAGTTGACTGCCACTGACATTTCATATAGCACCTACATTTCAAAGTGAACAAATTGACAGACAACACACATTACATTGCTTTTTCTCTCTCTAGCTCAGACTTCAACTGAATACAAATCACGGGAAAGGCCCCTGATGCCATGGCCAAACCCATGATTCCCTTGGTTACTACGTTTCACCCCAATCTCCCTCCCCTTCGCAAAATCACTAATGACAATCATCATATCCTCCATACTTCAGATCGCCTTGCCCGCGCCATCCCCAACGGCCCCACATTGGCTTACAGGCGTCCTCGAAATCTACGGGACTTGATTGTTCGAGCTGAAGTCCCTTCCTTAGATGCATCCCCTCCCACCCAGCATGGTACTTTCAAGTGCAGTTCCAGATGTGTTGTCTGCCAGATTCATATCCAGGAGTCTGACTCCTTTTCTGGCCACTCTTCTGTCACTACCCACAGAACCATTGGTAACATCACTTGTAACACCTCTAATGTCATATATCTCATTTCTTGCAGGGTCTGTGGAGTGCAGTATGTAGGTGAGACTAAGAATACGCTCAAGAAGCGTTTCTATGCCCACCGGTCAACGGTCAACACCAAGAAACTAGACACCCCTGTTGGTCATCACTTCAACCTGCCTAACCACTCCATTTCTGATATAATTTTGCAGGGCATTGAATCTCTTGGCCATCGCAAGAACTCAGTTCGCCTCAGCAGAGAGAAAGTGTGGATGAATCGTCTTCGAACTATTCAACCACATGGTCTCAACATCCAACTTGGAAATGATTAATCCTTTTCTTCCTCCATTGTCTTCTGTTACAGATAATCCACCTGGTCTTCCTTGTTTGTGTTTACCCATCTTCCCCCATCTTTCATCCCTTTCCACCTCAATACTGTCCCCCCCCCCCCCCACATCATCCCTTCACTCTCACACTCTATTGTCCGTTCCCACTCCCTGTGACCTTTGATCCTTCCCTTTTCTGGTCCCTCCCCTGTTTACACAAGACCCCTTGTGGTTTGCCATCTCCCTTTGTTTCTTTGTTCCCTCATCCATCCTCCCCTGCATCTTTCCACACCTTTCACACCTAATCCTCCTTTTGTGTTTCTTCTTTCAGCCCTGCATGTTTGTGTGCACCCCCATGTTAATGTATGTACCTCTGTCATTTCTGTTTTAGCCTCTGAAGAAGAACTTGCTAAGTTCGCAACGTCAGGCCACATTAATTTTAAGAATACAAATCAAGTTATCTTTGGCTGACTTAATCGTTTGCATATTCATTCTTCAGCAAGTGCATGGACAACATAGCCATACACCAGTATGGTAGAAATATAGAACCAAGTCTGTGACACGGTCTTGAGTTTGACTTGAGTTGCAAATTCTCAGACTTCACTTCAAGTTACAATGGATGATGACTCAAACTTGGCTCTCATGACTCAACTCATGACTCAGACTAGACATCGGGGACATGTCACTGGTGAGTCACATTTCACTGACTCAACGAAACATTGGCAAAACTGTCTGGTAACACATTAAGCTATTGCTGATCGAGTGCAAAATTTGGTTTGTTGTCGGTAACAATTGGTTGAAATAAATCCCTTGTATTCAGATACATTCTGCTTTGCAGATACGTAAATGATTTTCATTGTGGATTTTGTTGGAGACATTTTTATCTCTTTGGATTTGAACAGTTTAATTAAATCAAATATTGAATCAAGAATTATTTAATCATTCTGAAGTCCAACCAACTCATTTCTTTTGCCCTTCTGTCAATTGGGCGCTTGTCTTTTGTTGTAAAGGGAAACCATGTTTGAATGAATTTTCAACACCTCACATAAAATGTGTGCTAATTTTTTACGTGAAGTTTGTATTTTAGGGCAGCTGCAACCCTCTTTAAAAGGCTTTTTATTTTGGATTAATTTTGTGCACAAACAAATGCACAATGCAAGGAGACTCCTTCCTAGCATTTACATTATTGATCGCGATAGGGACAGCTAGGAACCAGTTAAACATACGAGGAGCTAATCATGGTTTGATGGCAAATCATTCAAAATTTCTGGGGTAATTTTTCCGAAAATGAATGTTGGGGAGCAATTTTCTCCATTTGATGTATCATTTAGAGTAAATAAAAAGAGAGAAATTCCCAAAAAGATTTGTTTCCTTGGTAAAATCTTTGATTTGAAGGTAAAACTCGAAAAGAGCACTCATTTAGTGATAAGTTTCACAAGATCACTTTCAGATCCTAATCTAACACATGAGCTGAAAGTAGTTTGACAATAAAGTTGCAATTCTTAAGAAGAACTGTTTTCATGTCAAATCTGCACTTTTTTCGTAGAAACATTGTCTATTTTTTTGTGTTTCGAACTAGACAAGTGATGACATAAAGAAATATTCACATTAAAATAGCCCAACCAGCCTTAATATATATTTGAAGGATCCTTGCCCTGGGAATTTAAAAAAAAATTATTTCTTTTCCTGACAAATCCCAATTTTGTCTATTGCATTCTTACTCCCACCCCCCTCCCCTAAAAAAAAACCCAACCCTTTTATTTTGCATCTGCAAACCTCCTAGGAAAAGTGTTACTTTGGATTACTTTTGTAGCTCTCATAATAGAAAAATAAAATATACATTCTTCCATGCTCTCATGAACCGGAATCACCATTGGGCAACAAATGAATTTTTTTCAGGCTGAAATATGAAAATCACCAGGGCTGTTTAGTCCCAAAATAGCATTGGTGACTTCTGATTCCATTGTTGTGGGCTGGGGCACCAGGGTCATGGAAACACTGACTGCCATTTATGCACAGGAACCTGCATCAGATGTGAGCAGAGAGTATCCGGTACAGTACATGTACATTGTATATACACGGACTCCAATAGCTTCTAAAAATAGAACTAGGAATTTACGCCCTGTGTGCAATGATAGTTCAACATTCATGTTCATGTACAGTGTATTGCATTCACATCAAACGTTGTAAATTGCCTACGTTGTGCGCCATCTTCCAGAAGGATAGTTTCAAATTTTCCTTTTAAACCAACAAAAAGACTTCAATTCAGGTAAGATACTTCACATTGTACCGTTGTTGTACTCATATTACATGGCATTTGTCAAGAATCTTGGAATAATTGCCAGTACCAATATGTGCAGCATTGGTCTTACAAGAGGGAGTAGTCAATGCTCAAATACAATACTCTTGACAAAAATGTCCCTGTTTAGTCTACTGGCTTGAGAGGACTAAACATATCCTTGATCCTACATTTGAACCTCAAATAAAAGTTGAACAAAGAACTTGATCAAGTGGGGTTTGAACCTATAACCTGCAGATTACTTTTATAACACTCAACTGAGCTATTCCGGACCAGCCCTATGTTGGCGGTTCCCCAGTTTGACATTGTCTTTGTTCAAGGGGCACTAGACAGAAGCTGTGAATGTGTTTATGCCATGCAGCTGGGGATCATGCCCAAAGTCACATTAACACTGCTTTTTGGTGTTTTTCTTATCTGTTTCTTCCCCTATAAATGCTTTATCATGCTTTTCCTCAATGCTATATTGTATTTTGGTTGTGGCTGACTAGATATAAATGTTAAGTATTGTTTTCAATGGAACAAAAAAAGGGGGAGGGATCAGGCCATGCACCTCAGTCAGCCCACGCTCCCTTAATGCAACACAAAATTGGGGGTGGGGGGATTAAAAACTACAATTAGTTTCCCCTCCAGAGAGTGGGATCGCCCAAAAGCCTCCCTGTACATTGGAGCTCATCATGTCAATGCTTTGAATTAATAAAATATAAGCCTAAGCAAAAAGCATTTCACATTTTTTTTTCTAATACTGTAGTAACTAAGAGTAGCTCAATATATTTTTTTGTTGGGGTGGGGGGGGGTTAAAGAGAGGGGCCATCTAATTGTAAATGCCTCCCTGCACATTGGAGTTATAAATGTCAATCAACTGAATTAATTACACATTACAATTCGTCACCGTTTGCATGAAGAGCCACATACATATGTCAAAAATTACAATTTTTTCGATTTTGATTTTTTCACTAGTTTGTTTTAAAACATTGTACTTAACCAATGTGACATGTTTGTGTAAGCAAAACATCATTAATTTCCAAGTAACATTAATGTTGCAAGGGGCAGAACTTAATCAATGCATTTTTGCGTTTTCACGAAGAGCCAAATTTTGGCCCTTTGAATGCGTACATAACCTATTGCACTGATAGGCATAAAAGTAGGTCAACTGAGATTTTAATTCACAAAGAGCCACATATCTTTGTTACATTTTCAGCTGCATGCACGTACACACGCACACCCCGTCCATGTAGAAAAACACATTGAAATGAAAGGGACAAAATGTAGGAAACGTGACTTTTGTTTTCATGAAGAGACACATATTTCTTTACTCTTTAATTTTCACTAAATAACTACTGTATTAATTCTACATACTGGGTTCATATAAAAAAAATAAGCTCTCATAGAATCATATGATGGTTTTCTTGTTACACAAAGTTATTGCAAAGTAGTTTTTTGCAGTTTTAGTATAGATAAAACTTCTTTTGCGATTATCTCGAAACCACTTTTTCTTCAAAATCCACATATGTGGCTCTTCGTAAAAAAAGTGACGAATTGATACCCATGAACTGAGAAAACAAAACATGTTGGCAATGTTGGAGATGATTAATGTAATCATTTTATATATCGAAGTCAACATTTGACAACTTTTATTCATTCTCAGATTAAAAACAAAACTTGATTCTTCAAGAAGTCAAGATGGCATCTAGTGTTACAGCTCAATCAGTGTTGGAGAAGATTAGTGTGGATCATCTAGAATGCTCCATCTGCACCAACCGTTTCAGGCAGCCCAAACTGCTGGACTGTTTGCATAGTTTTTGCCTGCAATGCCTTCAAGAGCTCAGACAGAGCCAAGATCCTAGTGCTACAAAGCTGACATGTCCTCTGTGCAGATGTGAAACCATGTTGAAAGGGTCTGGGGTTGCTGATCTCCCGAATAACTTTGCCTTCAGTGCCATGGTGGAGGAAGTTACAATGCAGGAAAAGCTACTGGAAGGTCAAGGGTCAGAGATCAAATGTCAAGCCTGTGATGAGGAGAATCAGGCTATTTCAAGATGCATGAACTGTGATCATTTCCTCTGCCAAGAATGTCACAAGGCACATGGACGAATGAATTTGATGATGAAATCTCACAAAATCTACACACTGGCTCAACTTCGATCAGGAGAGATTGCCTACAAGAGTAAACTGAGAGAAGAAGTTCCCAAATGTGGCGAGCATCCAGATCAGAATCTCAATGTCTACTGCAACACATGTGAGCAAGTCATATGCACAACATGCTCTGTACTTGATCATGCAAAACACTCACTCACTGGATTACCTGAGGCCGCAGAAAAATGTAAGAAGAAGGTCACAGAAATGGTCCAAAAAAGTGAGCGAAGAAAAACAGAAATGAGTACCACCATAGAAGAGATGTGCAAATCTCTCAACGAGCTGGACACTGTGTTTGCAAAAACCCAAAAGAAAATCTCCAAAAAGGCTCAACAGGAGATTACAAAGCTCAAACAGGAGGTTGCAAAGATCCAACAGGAAGAACAGAAATTGATGAAAGAGACAGATAGGATTCATAAAGACAGAGTCAGAACATTTGAAGCTGCTCAAGCTACCAACAGGAAAGAGGTGACACAGACAGAGCACAAGCTGGAGGAGGTGAACCAACTCATGAATCAAGCAAGTTGCTATGAGATTCTTGAACTTCAGCAGAAGCTCTTGCATAACCTCAGTGAATTGACAGGGAAACAGCCACAGCAAGTTCCTGACAAGTTGACCTTCATGGACTTTGAAGAAGGTGAGAGGTCACTTGGGAGACTCATTCTGGAGGAAGAACAAAAGGCTGCAGCAAAGCAATCACGAAGACCTGCACGATCATGTGTGAAGGAGAAATGGGAACTGAAGACTGAATTCAAGAACTTTATATTAGGAAATACACAGATACGACATGTGTCAGCACTCTCTGACAATAACATAGTATTAACCAATTTGAATAATACACTATTCACAGTATCACTGACCAATAGTCAACATACACCATCTCCTATCCCACAAAGGCTACAAATCAATGGCCTCACTAATTTAAGGTGCATTGCAGTGAGCAAGGATGACAAGCTCCTTGCTCTAGATATTCCAGTAGTCAAGGTCTTCAACAAGCAACATCAGCTCCTCCATCAGTTCACACCAGGTAGAGGGTCAGACAGCATACCAACATGCCTTGCAGTGGATGACAGCAATCTGATAGCAGTGGGTTACGAAGGCAAGAAGGAGATATCTCTACACAACCCAGATGGATCCCTCATCAGGAGACTGCCTGCTCCATTGATTCACTATCATCTAACAATGCACAATCACCGCCTTATCTACACAACAGGACTGAACAAAAGGTTGGTATGTGTAGACTTCTATGGTGCCAGTGTATTCTCAGTAGACATGACCAGCAACATGCAGAGGGGTCGGTGCCCTACTGGTGTGTGCTGTGACAGTGATGGCAGCATCTATGTTGCTGTGGATGGATTTCCAACAGGTGATATTCTGCATTACAGTCCTGATGGCAAGAAAATTGGATGTGTGATCAAGGGATGTGGTTATCCATGGAGCATCACATTCACATCAGGTGGTGATCTGGTAGTGGCTGCAGGAGAGTCTGTACAGGTCTATCACCGAGTGTGAGGACAGAATAATTAAACTGGGCTATCCAGCGTATCCACCAACCACTAATGGGCAATTCCACACCAAAGTGGACATGACACCAAAAAATTCAAATACATGTGACCTAAACAAATTTGGCATCAAATGAAAGCTAAAAGTCTATATTTTCAAGATTTGCAGTCGGAATTTTATTTTTAATACATTTCGGTACCAAAAAATAGGATTATGTAATAATCCTGTTTTAATCCTAAAAATGTGATTAATAGTGATATGAAAGTATTCTACCAAAACACACACAAAAATATGTACTAATGCCATCAGTTTCTGTCATGAGAAAGTATTGGTCTTGAAAAACTGACTAAAACTTGTTTTTAACATTTTGCGTAATTTGCTTCGCTTCAGTGACTTCTAATATTTCAGCCTTCGAAAATGTCCTTCCGTTACCGAAAAAATACATATTTTTAATTTATTTTTAAAAACTTGCAGTATGAATGCATTGAAAGTTATTGTGCAAAGCAAGTTTAGGTAGGCCTTCAATATGACATTATAACTGACACTACTGTACTTCTCATTTTTAATTACAATTAATTAAATCACGTCCTTCCGTTACCAAATTGGTAACGGAAGGACGGTAACGGAAGGACAAATCGTATTTTTATCAAATGTTACGACATTTGCGCTCATGTTTGAAAAATGAAAATCACTGCAAATACATGCATGTATAATGAGCATTGAAAGGACATTCATGTGACCCACCTTCACAAAAGCGGGATAAGCAGGGCAAGGTGTTTATTACAAAGGATGGCACAGGCATGTACAACATGTACAATGTACATGTACATGTACATGTATGCTGATGTACCAGTACTTGTACATGTATGGAGTTGTTGCAGAAAATCAAATCATAAAGTTGCTGCTATCAGCATTCATGGACAATAGAGAAAGATACGAATTCTGTGAAGCCATTCCAGAAGCAAATTAAGTCAAAAAAGAGATGGCAGAAAGTACCAGTACTTTGGGGCACTTTCATTCAATTTACATGTGTAAGACATGTGAGGTGCAATCTTTGACAAATTATGCCCAAGTTAACAATTTCAGTTTGGATGTTTATAAATTAATTGTTACTACTCTAAATCATTGTAATTTGATTTCAAACATTGATTTTAGAGTTCAATTAAAAGCAACACCTAACTGAAGCCATCAATTCTACAGGTAGATGTTTTTACCTTAAATGTACATGTAGGCTGGTCGCCCCCCCCCCCCACCCTTTAGGTAAACCACTGAACCTACCGGTATTGTTATTAAAAGTTGTTGGTGAACATGTAACCAATATACTCAAGTGCTCAAAAACTGTGTATTTAAACTTTTAAGGATTGAGGTGATGGGTTTGAAGTCCATTTCTGTAGTTGTCTTGTGTTCGTGAAATGTGTTTTGGGTGGTTTTCGTTTTTCTTTTGTTATCATTGATTAGCAGGCTTCTATCTTTATCTCAATAGTTTCTTGGGTATAACTATTTATGCCAGGTCTGCATATTGTTGATTTCACATTCAGTTACACATTTCAGCAATTTGTTTCACTTGTATAAATAGTGTAAATTCACATTTTGTTCATGCTATAATTGAGTAAACCTTTTGTCCTTCCGTTACCGTCCTTCCGTTACCAAATCATAATCTGCTTAAAACGTTGTTATTATATTACCGAAACACTTAAAGTCAAATGAAAGGCGGTATAGTATAGTTAAAGCTTCAGGGATTCCATTTCTTACCTTTAAAATATAATTGCCCCATAAAATTCACAGAGTTTACGCAAAACGCGAGTAAGTTGGAAAACCCTTGTCCGTTTTACCGTCCTTCCGTTACCGACCTCATTAATATTCATAATTCATAAACGGGAGGCATTCATGCCCCCCAAAAGTGTGGAAAATGAAAGTAGCATTATAACAATACAATTGTGACATTTGTTTGCTGTAACTATGAACAGTGTCTGTGATACACACATTTGAAATTTTGTTTAATGAGTGAAAACGTCCTTCCGTTACCGTGGAATTGCCCTAATTCCATCAGACATTGAACATTGTTATCACTGAAAAAGAACTTGAAAGTTCATTCCCTCGAATAACATTCTACGCACAGGGTACGAAATTAGGGGTTGCCCGCTAGCCAAATGCTAGTCAAAACAGCGGCAGGCTAGTCAAACTAGTCCTTAAGAAGCCCGGCTTGCGAGTCAAAAAATTATTGGGATACGGCAAAGATGAATGACACAAAGAAATAAATCATTAAATTCAGAAAGCAAACCTGTATCAAACTTCCTTAAATCAGTAGATCTGTATTAAAAACACTGACAAAATTGCCTCAGAATAGATGAGAAATGAGTTGGATTGGGTAATTCAAGTCTGTTTTACATCGCGTACTTGGATGAGAATGAAAATGATAACAACGCGAAGAGTTACGAACCTACATCAGATGGATTCTTGATTTATTCAGGCTCATTTGGATCAGATTTTAATACAGTTCTTATAAACAGTCATTTGAGATTTGTTTGTAAATGAGAATAGATTCTTAAAGAATATTTAAAACAAATTTATAGTCTCCTATTTAAGTTTCAGTTTTTATCCAATGACTGCCACAATATTATTTCATAAATGTTCGTACTTCAATGAGTGATCGAGTTCCACGAGTCCACATGGATGTTTTCAGAGTTCAATTTTTGGCACGATATTTCTCTTTCACGTCATTCGATTTTTCAGGTTCCATAAAATATTGAAGGAGATTTTCTTGAGAAATCAATGTACCAAAACTAATTTCAAATACTCTGGCTTTTACACGTTAATTTTCCTTTTTGAGGGGCCCTGAAGCGCCACCAGGGGACAACTTTCAGACTCTATACAGGTTTTACATGTATGCACATTGTTGTTTATGAGACACTTTATATAAGAAAACACATGCAGGGGAGTAAAAATGTCTGTGGGCTAGTTAAGAGTCTATTTCAGTCGCCCGGCTGGCTAGTGAAACAAAACCTAAGGGTCGAACCCTGTACACATACTGTATATTTGGTTTATTTCTAAGGTCTTTGGTCTCTGTATGTGTTGACTCTAATACCTCAACCACTTCCCCTTTGGAAAACCTTGGACTTTTAACACTCAACCCACTTCATATAAAATCTTAGATCTGGTGGTTCAATAATGAGAGCAAAGGAATGGCCCTTCACATTGTTAGCAAATAGGGCAGTGCACATTTTCAAAGTATTACCAACGAGGGAAGGTATTACCATGAGAGGGCAATTCAATTTTCTCAGATTCATCTCAGCAAATGCAAAGTCAATGCATGATGTGCTTTCCGAGTCTAAGATATAACACTACTTCTGCAAGAAATGTGAACATTTCCTTACATTTGTTATTCAATTTTCAATTATTGGGAAAATTGTTGAGTTTAAATCAATGCAACTGTTTTTTGAATGAGAAAGATTTTGCACCTCTGTGTACACGAGTTAATTAAAAGTAGATACTCACAAGCAACTGGATGAAATATTTTGAACTAAAGCGAAAAAAGATTATCATATGGAATCCATTGATTGTCTCTTTCACAGTGCTTTCTGAGTGCCTTATCAAATTAATATTAGTTTAATTACATTTACAACCAAGTTGAAATGAAAACCTTGTGCATTCTACTGCAATGATACATGGATGTTTGTAAATGTGGTTAGTATGATGGATGTACATTTGAAAACTGAAATCTTGTTTGTTTGCTTTTCTTAAAAGGAGTTTTTAAATACTGCATTAGAAGATGCATTTGGAACATTTTGTAAATTTGGGGTTCAATTTTTCTTGTTCCTATAAGTCTGGCATCTATGATTTTGAAATAGAAGATACGATGCACTCCTTTATGTGTGTACTCTTCCTCCAAGAATGCTTCTGTGAATCAAATGACCTACCCAACAAATATTAATTAGTTTGAAGTCATTTTTAGTACCACTTGAATGGCAAATGATAAATTTCGGAGGTTGCAGGAACAGGAAAAAAATTCAGACTTTGGACCCTAAATGTATAGAATGACCTACTTGTGAGAGGTTCTGTCACATTACAATAATAGTTTAGTTTATTTCATAAATGATTGAGGCTTTTGCTTCTTTGAATAAGTATTGGCTTGCTACATGCTGATAGACCAAGTAGTCTAAATGAAGCAATGAGCATTTGCTTTAATTAGAGAATATCTCTCCAAGAGAACGCAGCTTTCATTACAACAATGGCATTTCAGCAAAGACCCAAAGTCTGTTATTTTACCAATCAGCATCTCACATACGTTTCAGCTGCATTTTCCACTGGGCATGTTACAACTCTGCTCCTAGTGTTATTTGCATACATAATGAGGGCTGCCTGTTTTACACTGATGATGCGACTCAAAAAAATATATTTGTATTTTATCATTTATAGACCACTTAATTTGGAAGCCGTAGTTATTGTATCACTAGTTAGTTCATTCACTGTATATTTTGTCGAAGACATTTTTAAAAACGTTTGCTGAGAACATAGCAACAGTGATTTCATGAAACAACCATCATTTCTCAGTTGTCGTTTTTTACATTGAGGACCATTTTGTTTTTGACAAAAATATAACATCAGTGGTTTCCCAACATTCATACTTGTGCATAATGGTAGAGGGGATCATCAAGTAATCAGATTTGTGAACAGATTTTCTCTGCTGATTGACCGCATTTGAATATTGTCGACATGCTCTCAAAATATATTGAGAATGTAACTATGATCTTAGAAAACTAGTCAGGCTAGTTGAGGTCTAGTACCACGTATCGCGAGCAAAAAAATTAAACACTACAACAACACTGTTAAGTCAGCTTCGATAATTCTCTCTTTGATCAAAACAAAACAAATGTAGTAAAAGAAATCTTTTGTATGTTAACTCTTTCGCTACGGAATTTAATTTACCTATTTTGTCCCAACTGGACGTAATAAATTGCTGGAAATTCCGCTGAGCGTCGATGTGGGCACCGCCATCTTAAACAAACTGCTCACAATAACCTGCAGCGCA